GAAAATTATGTTTTGTTATCACTTAAACTTTGCACATAGATCACGTCCGTGAGGTGTATTCCCAATATAATAAGAACATATATTTTTGCACTCCAAACACATGGTATTTGGCTAGGGTCACACACACACCTCAATTGGGAACTAGGCCTGGCCACCTGGATATCCTGTGAGCTTAGTTGGCTTCTCTTTCTCTCCTTTACTATTTCTTTGGGTTATTGCATATTCCTATCGGAAAAAAAAAAGTGTAAACAACACAAATACCCCTCGAACTTTAGTATCCGTTTTAAATTAGCCCCTGAACTTTCAATTGTACCATTTTAACCCTTTATACTTTTACATATGTACCAATCAATCCATTCTGTCCATTTCAAACGTTAAAGCTAACGGAACAAGAAAATTGTGAGGACCTAAGGGCATAATGGACATTATACTCAATGGAGCTGGGTTTTGGCGTCAAACGTCTTTCCTTTTCCCTCTTTTCTGTTGCTTTGTTGTTGCAATATAAAGTTGCACCTTCTTTATATGGCATGATTGACAGACGATAGAGGGAAAAAATAGGTTGTGCAACAAGGGCAGTGTAGAAGCCTTGAATTCGGCAGTGATAGAGGCCTTGGATTCTGCAGAGATAAAAGCCATGGATGTGTCTTGTAGATCTTATTGGTTTGTGACTGTGAAGTGACAATGGCTAGGATTGAGTTCCTAGTTGTTCCCGTTGATGGTTGTGATTGAACTTTGACAGTAACTAAGATTGAGTCCCTAGTTGTTAGCCTTGATGGTTGTGGTTGAGCTGTGACAGTGGTTAAGACTAAGTTCCTAGTTGTGGGCCTTGATAGTTGTGGTTGAGCAGTAACAGTGGCTGAGACTAAGGTTGGTCTTGGAGGATTGAATTGTTTTCCACTTCTTTTAAACCCTCTTACCTGAAGCGCATTAAAACAACTTGTATTAAAACAATTTTTTTCACCATATGCTTAATACCATAACATTGTAATACAAAAAATTCACTGGCAATTTATTCCTTCTACGACCAGTAAATGTCTGTTGATTCTATTAATGCTATTCAGTTTGCCGATTCAAATCAGTTTGTTGATTCTGCTGAGGCTGTTGAGCATTCCCCTTACAAGTTCTTTGGTTGTGGCATGTGTTCCCACATTTGGTGCTTGTCATCTTAACCCTTCTCTTACCCAATTTTCCAACTTTGGAAGGCTCATGTTGATCCCTTTTTCTTACCTTTTTTGGTCTACCTGGTTGCACATGGACAATTGGTGGTCTAATGGGATTTTTCCTGTCTAAGGCCACATATCAGGGCCATTAATGGCTATAACACATGACTATAAGTTTCCAAATATTTGTCTCTCTTGAAATAATCATGCACATACATGTGTGGGTCACCACCATTATAGTGAATGATAGACACACCATGAGCACATGGAATCCCAGTTAAATCCCATTTCTTGCAAGTGCAACTTCTATCCCTCACATTCACTGTAAATTATAACCCATCAGAACAACACACTTGGAAACCTGACACACCATTGAACCTAGGTCTACATGTCATAGATTCTACAATCACTTTCTCTAACCTTTGTCTAACAGAAGGGCAATTAGGTCCAAGCAACCTAAGCATCATTTCTCTCCTCCTCACTATTCTATCCATCAAGAGGTTCCTAATAGTTTCTAACTCTATAATGATGGGCTTATCTCTTGCTTCTAGAATGAATGCATTAAATGATTCAGCATGGTTATTTAATAAGTGATCACATTTAGAAATAATAGAGAAATGTAATCTAGCCCAGTGTTGTGGGTGTATAGATGTGGCTAGCCAGTCAAAAGCACTAACACTCTCATTTTTTAGGACATCCATTGCCTTCCTAAAATACTCCATTGTGGTAGCCCTAGCACAATCCCACATCATATCTCTAAGAACCTTTCCTCTATGTTGTTTTTTGAAATTGTTGTGCATATGCTTAAGACAAAATCTATGTTCACAAATTGATAACAATGTGACCATAGCATTGCCAAGTCCCTAAAATAGAAAAACATTTACAGATTTAGTAAATTACATTGGGAAAAAAAATTAGACGTAAATTCAATAAACATCATTCCTTCTATTGGTTAAACATAAATGTCCAATGAAATTGATTAATCATATTTAGATCATCACATAGCAGCTCCATAAACCATTTCCATGTGTCATTGCACTCATTCTCCATGATTGCATATGCTATAGGCCAAAATTCATTATTTGCGTCTATCCCAACTACTGTTAGTAGCTGACCAGGGTATGTACCGTTAGGAAACAACAATTTATGCATATGAAAGGTCTATATCCTACCAAATACCCCTCTTTCAATGGTCCCAGGCAACAATAAATCCTGTTAAACCTTTTATTTTTACCCCCAAGGTTGTTTTCTCTATAATCAATTACTAATGTTGACCCTGAGTGTGTTTTTTTTATCTCTTCACAATAATCCCATAACTTACTGTACTGTGCCTTCTGACCATTACATCTTTAGCAGTTTTCTTTGGCTCTGAAAACCACATTTTTGAAACACTCACACTATAATCTTCTTCGACAACTTGCCTAAAGGATTATAATGACCATCCAAAATTTGATCCAAGCTTATTCTTGTATGTTTCAAATAACCAATTTGATGTTATATGTCTATTACACTAGGCCCAATTGCAGTTTTGGTGCACATTATTAAAAGTCTTAATTTGTAATATACTGCCACCTTGCATCTTTGAGGCAAAAATCATCCGTTCACATGGTGGCTTGCAATTGGCCCTCACCCTATTTTTCTCATTCCTAATGAACCTTATGTCCTTCACCTTCCACATGGCATAATTCTTAATAGCTTCCTTGAATTGTTTGATCGAGGCAAATACCATTCCCAGCTTGAATTCAAATTTGCTCATGTCTGTTAATAACCTAAAATCTGGATATCTCCTCTTCGCAGTATCCAACTCATCATCATCATCGGATGAACTATGCAAATACTAAAGTTCATTTGATGCAACATTGTTAGATATAATGTCATTCTCATTGGCATTAATCTCAGTATTCATATTGCTCTGTCCAACACTTTTATCCCTCAATCCACCCAATTGAACGTCATTATCCACATAAGTATCAAACAATTAGTCATCAATTTGTCCATCACTGTTAGAGAAAATCCTCATAATTTGATGTATCTGAGTGGCATGCATCAGAATTTTCCTCATTTTGTGAATCCTTGCGATTATTTGCAATGTCACATTTTGTATTGGAGATATATTCATCTTCATTTGGTGTGTCGTGCTCTAGGTGTACTTCAATTACCCTAATATTTGGAACCCACTCCAACATTGCTAATATATCATAATCATGCTTTAATACCCCTCAACTCTTTTATGAGATCCATATGTGAAACTTTATAATGATAACCAATAACTCTTATACACCTTAGTTCCTTTGCCATGTCACTTATCTCAGGGATGGATATTAGGTCAGGTTCACACCAATCAACATGCCTAATATACTCATCTTTATATACTATATGAGGCATGCACTCAAATTTTCCACCATAATGCAACTTCATGATGAATAACATTGAGTTCACACCTGTGCAAAAAGTTAGAAAACATCTTCATTCATACCTAGTATATGGTATGCCATAACCAATAATAAAAAAAAATACAAGACAATGCTTTGTCTGCCACTCAGATTAAGGAATATGGTAAAAAACAACAAAATCAGTTCGAAATAAGAGCTTGTAGAATATTAAGCCAATTTAAAACAAAACCCAACATCTTCTACACTTTTCAAATCCAATGATTGTATAAACAACTCCTACTTTTAGCACTTTCATACGTACAAATGAATTAAAAATTTCACACTTACCATACAATTGATCTGTATTAAAAGCAACATTCACTGGTCGGATTAACCAAGGCATGTCTGATTGATGAACACAAGCCATTTTCTATAAAACTATAACTTGCTCTTCTCAATCGTCCTTGGAATGAGTTTCTGCATAGGGATCCACAATGGATTTGTGGCAATGGATACAGAATGAATTTGGAGGATGAACCCTAATTAACTCTGCGAACTGGCATTCTTGAGACGGGAAATGGAAAGATGTTTGACACCAAAACCCAGCTCCATTGAGTATAAAGTTCATTATGCCCTTAGCTCCTCATGGTTTTCTGTTCTCATTAGCTTTTAACGTCTAAAATAGATAGAATGGGTTGGTTGGTACAGATGTGAAAGTATAGTACAATTGAATGTTCAGGGCCAATTTGAAACGGATACTAAAGTTCAAGGGACATTTGTGTTGTTTACCCAATTTTTTTTTTGAATCTGAAACCTTATCGAAGTTATAGGTAAACGATAATTTCACGCAAATTTTCGAAGACAGAGAGAAAGAGCGCGCGTTCCGAAGTCCCTTTCGGCCTTCGGAGCTTTCTACCTCTAAAATACAACACTTCGCTTTCTAGGGTTTTCATTGATTTCTTGATGCTTCGTAGCTGCGTGGATGCCAATACAGATATATAGATAAGGTTTTGGTATCGATCGAGTGGAACCCAATCACCCACGAGAGGTACCTTTCTAAATTTACTTCATTTAATTAGAATAAAGCTTCAATCTCTCCGTTAACTCTCCTATAATTCTATACAGAGCAGAGCATTTTATCAGTTTTCTTATGTATAAAGCACAGCGAACTTATCCTTTCTCCTTAAAGTTTCTAATTTCTGTTGGCTTTAACTGTATTTTTCTGGCATTGTGTGCGTGTAATCAGATGGTCTGGTTGAAGTTTTCTTATTCGACCCAATTTCTCTATACCGCATCTCAGGTGTCCAAGTTTTTAATGCCGTATTGAAGAGAAGTGTAGCAAGAACTGGATGATAAGAAAGGTTAAATGTATGAAGATAGTTATGAGGACTAATCTTCTACATGGCTTAAGGATTTGGGTTTCTCCATTAGAGTTATTGGATTAAAGTTTTCAATTTCAGTGACTGAAATGCCATCTGGTTTACTATCAAATCTGAATACTGCTTTAAATTTTGGTTTTAGAAGAGCTATAGGGTTGCAACGCGCTGGGACTCAAAACTCAATTAAAGCTCTGGTTGGAAAGGGTTGTGGGAAGTCTGTGGTTTGCTGTTCATCTTCACTTTCAAAGTGTAAGGATCTGCACTTATTCGAAGAACCCAACTGTATCTTTATGTAAGGGGTAGAAATCGCTACGGATCTCATCCCTCCACTTGAGGATTTCGGCTTGACCTGGGTTAACCCACGCGGGCGACCCCCCAGTAGCCTTTACCTCTCTTCGCCAATAGGACCCTTTCCTAAGGCAATCCCACATCGGAAGAGAGTCGTCTTCCCCCCTCGCATATAAACCCTTGCACTCAAAGGAGGAGGTACCCACTAGCGACCTGATTAGGTGCCTAGTGGGTACCTCCTCCTTTGAGTGCAAGGGCTTATATGCGAGGGGGGAAGACGACTCTCTTCCGATGTGGGATTGCCTTAGGAAAGGGTCCTATTGGCGAAGAGAGGTAAAGGCTACTGGGGGGTCGCCCGCGTGGGTTAACCCAGGTCAAGCCGAAATCCTGAGTGGAGGGTTCTACCCCTTACAAAAAGGCGCCTTTTTGTAAGGGGTAGAACCCTCCACTCAGGATTTCGGCTTGACCTGGGTTAACCCACGCGGGCGACCCCCCAGTAGCCTTTACCTCTCTTCGCCAATAGGACCCTTTCCTAAGGCAATCCCACATCGGAAGAGAGTCGTCTTCCCCCCTCGCATATAAGCCCTTGCACTCAAAGGAGGAGGTACCCACTAGGCACCTGATCAGGTCGCTAGTGGGTACCTCCTCCTTTGAGTGCAAGGGCTTATATGCGAGGGGGGAAGACGACTCTCTTCCGATGTGGGATTGCCTTAGGAAAGGGTCCTATTGGCGAAGAGAGGTAAAGGCTACTGGGGGGTCGCCCGCGTGGGTTAACCCAGGTCAAGCCGAAATCCTCAAGTGGAGGGATGAGATCCGTAGCGATTTCTACCCCTTACACTTTACCTCAATATCAAGTTGTCATTTTGGTACTCACAGCAATAAATGTTTCGCTGTTGAAGCTATTTGGCGAATGCATTCCAATCCTACTGTGCTTGGATCAACTTACCGGGTTTTCGAGCATACTAGCAGTACAAGTAACAGAAAGATTATGGCAGCGGGTTCCAAAGCTGCTTCAGGAGATCTCATTGTTGATAACTTGATACCAAGTTGTGGGAATGTTCCAAGTTTTGCAAAATCTACTGGGGTCTATTTCCCCAGTACAAGTCTTCATATTTCTCAGAAGTTCAGCATGAATATGAGAAATAGAGAGTCAAACAATGGCCATACGGGTTTTGGGTATTTTATATTTGATACTACACGGGAGTCCTGCAATTCTAATCCACTTGTCAGCCCATTTTCAAAAAAATATCATACATCTTCTTCATTGTGTTACTCTGATGGGGCTATGCCTGATTTGTCATTTGATGAATTGTCACGTGATGAAGAGCTTGCAAGTCTTGCAATTTCAACTAACCAGTATGTGCCCTTATCTGGTTTTTGTTTTATTACTTGTGTCATTGTTCTTACAGCACCTTTTTCATTGTAACTACTGTTAGTAGTCTGAATTTGTTGTTGCAACAATTGGAGTTTCATTTGCATATGACTATTGAAGTCTGTTTTATTTTGGCTTTACTTTCTTGGATAAGTTATTTTATAATTGCCAAGCCCGCACCATTGGATCACACCACTTTTGGCTTGTTTATGCAACATGGTAGACTTTGTTAAGCAGTGCTTTGGAATTTTCACGGCATGGTATCATGTGTCATTTTTCTACCATGAAGTTGTTATTAAAATAGCATTCGTAGAATGTTCAGTTACTGTGGTAGCGTCTATTACCTAAAAATAATACGAGATAAAGAGGACACAAAAGACCCAATTTCATTAATATGGTGGCAACAGACCAGCTGCACTATTCTATTGGAGTTTTGCTTTATGCTAATATAGGCAAAAATTATACATGCCCTTGTTATGATTTGTAAAATCACTTAGACATCAACATCTTAGGCTATGAAGCATGGATATTTTGTTCAGATCGACATATTCATATCAGATACGATACTAGTCGGATATTCGACAATACGGATTAGATACACACTAAACGTATCTAATAATAAATAAAATATATGGATACTTCGATAATACATCTATATGCCCAGAAGTATGTGTAATTTTTAGTTTTAATTTTCACCCCTTCCTTTTGATTTCACATACAATGCAATACATCAATAGAAATACATATTATTTTAAAGACACATGAGTATTTTCTAAGTATTATCCATTATCACATGTCCAAAGAGTATAAATGAGTTGATTCCGCTATAATCTTAGCAATACAAATTTCTAAGTAAACAATCTAGTTAAGTGTTGGTTCTTAGTCCTTTATTTAATCACGCTCACTTTTGTAGATGTACCATAGTGAGACGATAGGTAATGTTGTGAAAATAAAAAGTTATCAATGTTGTTTATTATTGTTAAAGAATTACTTCAAATTATAGCTATTAAGTTATTACATAATAGTGCAAGTATAAAATATATATATTCATAGACGTATCCTGGCCATATTCGTATTCTTTTTTTTGGAGTTTTAGTATATCACCGTATGCATATTGTATTGTACCAGTATCTCGCATCCGTATCCGTGCTTTCTAGATCTTAGACAACGAGCTTCAAATGAGAATGAGTTTTAGAAGGCTTCCCATAATGGTCACAACTATTTAGTTAATGCTTAAAACTCGTTGTTTGCAGAAAGCTAAACATTTGTTAGAAAAGCATATGATAGTAGTTAACTTTAAGTCATGGAATTAATATTCCACTTTGTCAAGATGCATAAATATTAAAGCAGATGCATGACCATTAGTAATCATACCTTCAGCTGAATTTTAAATCATATGAACTCACAAAAAGAAAAATTCTCGGTCTAAATGTTTGGCTGGCGATTTTCTTCTTGTGATCTGCTAAAACAAGAATAGTAGTTTCATTTCCCCCCAATCTTTCAAAATTGAATGGGAGTTTGTTATTTAAATGTGAGGATTGAAAATGTTAGTACTGTGACGTTATGTTAAAATTTGAATAAGGAGTCAAATCTAAAATAAAAGTCTTGAGAACTTGATTGGTGTATATTCACGATGTTGGATTTGAGGATGAAATCATTTGCTTCTTTGAATATTACTTGCCAGGTGAACCAATAGGCTTTCATAATATGTTGGGTAGGATAGTTGTTTACATGTGGTTGTAAGTAGAGAAAGAATAACACAATAGGAGAAGTGAAAAGTCTCTGGGATTTGAAGATGATAGCAAAAGAAAAGAGTTGGAGAAGGAAATATACTTATAGTAGTAGAAGAGGATTGTAATTCGAGCTTAAAAATTTGAAGGTGATAGAAGTCTATGTGGGAGACTCGGATATTAAGTTATTTTCTTCTTTCTTCTTGAAACAGGGTGTATTTTGTAATATAATTATTTTTGAAAGAATAATTTCTAGAGCTAATTTCACAATTCAGTGATATTAAATTGCTATCTTAGAGAGTAATAACTTATCCAGAAAAAATATAAAAAATAGAACTAGACAAAGAGTATTAAAGACTCAGGATTTTTGCAGTGTGCATCAAAAGGGCAGTGTCCCTTGTAAAACATGTTCTAAGCCTGTGTGTGTAGGTGTGGCGTAAGATTAAGGTGAACTGAATGTGCAAGTGTGGTGGTTGACCAATTTGACAATATAGCTGTATGCATTATTGTTGTGGAAACCCTTCAAATGTAGTGTTTCTGGAAATATTGATATAATTTCCGATCGCCGTAAATTTATCATATCCTTTCTATTATGTTTATTATGTTTCAAGCTTAACTATCAGAGAAAATATCTTTATGGACCTGCACACATGCAGATGCATTCATAAACAAGTCTGTTTCATAAAGCTTATGCAAAAGTAAACTAGTAGAATATTGAATGGAAACAAAGAGCAAATTTTCCCAGTACCCATCTATGAAACACTTACCTAGTCTTTGAGTCAGACCATTGCATATTAATCCTGCCACTGTGACATATATTCTGGCAACCTTTCCAATAAGAAGAATATGCTTCTTTCAAATTTTGGATTGGCGACAAAAGTTGCATTTACTACTATAAACAATTTATAACATGTAATAGTTGGATCTAATGTTTAGTTTGAGCCTTGAAAAAAATTCTTCCCCGGTGAATCCTGTAGCCATGGTCAAATTTTGTTTCAACAAATTATGTGAGTATGTCAACAAGAGGTTAGCAGTCTGAACTTCTGGGATACTGCATGGCCGTTATCAAGCTCTTTCTCTTTATTAATGTTTCTCACTATTGACTTCAGAAAAACTCTAGGTGATAGAACCCTGAAACTTGTTTCTGGATCATGTTACCTGCCGCATCCTGCCAAGGTAGAAACAGGTGGAGAGGATGCTCACTTTATTTGTATAGATAAGCAAGCAATTGGTGTAGCAGATGGAGTTGGGGGCTGGGCAGATGTTGGCATAAATGCAGGAGAATATGCCCGTGAACTCATGTCTAATTCAGTGAACGCAATTCAAGACGAGCCTACAGGTTCAATTGATCCAGCTCGGGTGTTGGAGAAAGCTCACTTAACCACAAAAGCTAAGGGTTCCTCAACTGCCTGCATCATAGCACTTGCAAACCAGGTTTACTATTTTGCTTTATAATCCAGACATGCCCATATCTTTCCTTTAAGCTCAGAATATTTTTGCCTAAACTTATGGTTTTATATTTACATACTATTTACCTTTGGGCTCGTTTGGTTGCCGTATTAAAAATGGATGGATTAGATAAAGTAATACAGTTTAATACAATACAGATGGATAAAAGACAAGATTAAATTGGGTATTAGAATAATACGTAATTTTATTTAGTGTTTGGTACTACACAACATAAACATTGGATAGTAGTTAGTTAATCCATTCAGTTTTTTGGTTAAGACATTATTTCATGGTATTAATATTAAATTAACAAAAATACCCTCAATCAATGTTTGTTACATTGATAACAATTGGATTTTATTAGTTGGGGGTTATAATAGTAAATGTGTAGAATAATATGTTTGAGTTGATTATAATACCACCAAGAGAGGTGGTATTAAAATACCTCTATAATACACGTTTATCGTATAAAAAATATACGATTAGTATACGTTTTTAAAATTAATACGGTATCAAATTTACTTATCAAACAAAGTATTAGACTCGATTAAATAAAAAATAATACGATCTAATATTTAATCCCCTCATAATAGCTCTACCAAACGAGCCATTTGAGTAAATGGTTGTGATATGAGTATTAACATTAATTCATTAAAAATAGTTCTGCATTATATTTTATCTCGCACTATTGCACTATAGTTTAAAGCGCCCTTGAAATTAATACTAACTACTGCAGAGAATGAAGATTTTGATGAGTAGTGATCTTGTATCTATAACATGTATCTCTAATACCCAAAAGCCTTGGGCTGCGTATGGCGTAACTTCTCAAATTAGAAGTGCATTTCAGAGATAGACTTTATAACATGGACTTTCTAGGAAGGACTTTTAGTTTGAATGTTTGGTGAATGCATGATTAAAAGTGATTGGTAATCAAAAGTGCATCATGAAAATATGTTTGGCAGCAATACCCCAAAAGTGTAAAATAATTTCTCTCTATCCATATTATCCTTAATTTGATCATTTGTTTTTGGATAGGAAACATACTATTTTATTTAGAAATAAAATATGGGATACAAAAACAGTTGGATAAGGAATCCAACCACAGCAATAAAATACACACAGAAACAGTAAAGCTATAAATCGCATGAATCTCTCCATCTTGCTAAAATGGCAAAGAGCGGAATTCTTGTTTACTCCTTCGTCACCGAAGCCCAAAGAGAGGCTAAAAGATGAATATGTTCCCATAATCCCTCCCACTCTCACTCCAGTCATAAAAAATTCTTACGTTTCGTTCTTTCCATATAACCCAAAACGTAGCCATGATAGCACACTTTCAAAATATAACACCCTTATCAATCCTTCCAAAACCTTTCACATCTTCAACAAACAATGAATATGATGTTGTTGGAAACACCCAGCTCAACCCAGCCACTTGAAACAAAAGATGCCATAATGTCAAAGCAACCGGACAATGAAAGAATAAATAAATGATCAATACTCTCCACATCACCTTTACACATCACAAAGCACTTGGGTGAAAGACTAGTATGAGGCCTCCTTAATTTGGTCATACACTTCAACATTTTTTTGTTTACAAGTAATTCCTGCCAATGGTGGTTGGGTCTAGGTGGTTTTAGAGTTGTTCATGAATCATGAATTCTATTTTTCTGTTTACAACTAATTCTTGCAAAATTATTATTACATGAAAAGCCAAATAGCTAATGTAAAACATTGTCTACTGGAAGAATTCTTCTAAGATTACTAAAAAACAAAAAAAGAAAAGAAAAGAAAAGAAAACTCATTCATGAATAGTTCTGAATGAATTGTACACTAACCAAAGGAATTGTACACTAACTAGAGAAAAATCTAGAAGTCTACATAGCTTATAATGAGCATACCAAAACCCACTACGAACACAGCTGGAAAGTGTGTTAACACTGTGGCTGACCTTAGTTTGGCACCTTTTCTTCCATTAAGGTACGCATTCATCCTTCAGAAAATTTCAGCTCTCTCTCTCTCCCCCTCTCCCTCTCTTACCCTTGGTCACTCCACACAGATCCTATTATGGATACTGATTTGTAGATGACAGTAATAAAAATGCAAACAGCAGTGATGATAATGGTCCAATCGATGCACTCTGGTAAGCATTTCGCCTGCTATCCATGGAAGATGAAGAGGAGTTGGGGATACAAATCAACTTAGGGTTAAAAAGATATCATATTACGTGAAAAAGATCCAAAAGTAATAGTGAGAATTTAAGTGCAGAAGTCCCATTTCCAGAAGCAACCTTTTCTGCTTCTCTTGATGCCCATCTGAGCGAAGCACTTCTTGCCAGAAAGTAAAAAATGTATGTTCAGCAAACCGCCCAAAATTTCTGAAATGGACTTTTGAACTGCAAAAGTCCATCCAAGTCACTTGCCAAACACACACTTTATGCCCTTGTAATTAAATTTTTTGGGCCCATTTGGCACAGATTTCAGAAATAATTTATTGTTGTTGCAAGGTGCCACTCATGCACACTGAATACAGAAGGGAACCAAGGAGATAAGTGCAAAGGTAGAAGCCAGATTCCAAAGAGAACTCCCCTCAAATTTTTTCAAAAGAAACATTAGATAGTGGGTACACTTCATTAAACTATAAAAAAGAAAAGAAAAGAAAAGAAAAAAAGACTCAACATCAAAATCTTGAGCTAATATAAAGGCAGCTCCAGCTCTTCAAAACATCTTATGTTCCTTTCCTTCCAAAGAATCCACCCAAGACTCAACTGGCCAATTTCAGGAACAGGAAAATGTGTTGTCTGTTGTCTGTTTTTTGATTTTTTTGGTTTGCCACTCAACGCAGTGTTCTCAAAATTATTGTTCACACCTGAAAACACCATATAGAGAGTATTTTTTGAGAACTGATCTAAACTGGGCCATTGCGTCCAAAATTTGTGGAATGAGCTGCTCACTTAGAGGTTCAGTGATCAGAGATGCTGATTACATTACGCTAATAGTGGGCGCGCACTCTCTCAATCAATATTTGCTTTACCACCAGGCAATGGGGGGCGGTCTTTGGATTAGGCACCTTCCACCTACCTTCGATCACCTTTTGGTATTTCTTTGTGTCCTCACGTCTTTGCTGTTAGATTTGCTGTGGTACTGCAGCTGATGAGAGGCAGCGGGATGAGGGAGAGGAGATGGAGAAAGGAATTGAAGGAAGGTGTCGAATCCATAGACTGTCCCACATGGATTGGTGATGGAATCAATGAGTGCCCTATGAGCAATGGCCTAGAGGCTAGAACCTTCATTTTATAATGCATTTTAAAGTTGTGCGAGGCAACTCTAAGTGAACAATATTGTACTGATGTTGGTTTGTGGCATTTGCTTCTTTAATATGTCTGGCTTCTCAGTAAACTTTGGTGTATTAATTATCTCTCAGTGCAAAGATTGCTTAAGCCTGAAGGTTTGGAGTAAAAGTTACCTTATTGAATGGTGTCTAATACTTCCCATTATTAATTCCATTCTTTTTTGATTCAACATATACTAAGCTTGTGTCATTTGATAGACTTTACCTTTTTGGTTCCCTAAGCAGGGTATTCATGCCATTAATCTGGGGGACAGTGGATTTATCGTTGTCAGAGATGGATGCACCATCTTCCAATCACCGGTGCAACAGCATGGTTTCAATTTTACATATCAACTAGAAAGTGGCAGTAGGGGTGATCTACCTAGTTCTGGTCAGGTCAGTTTAGGGACTGCTTTAGCTTAAACCTGCATCTGTTGTCCCTTTTCTGTGGATATTTGTTCAGTTGTGGCGCTTAAAAATTAATTTAAGGAAATGTAAGAGGAATACGAAACCTTCGACATGTTACCTATTTCTTGTTAGCTTGACGGACTATCTTTTCATCTAAATCACTTAAAATAATAATTCTAAATTTCATGGAGTTTTATATTCTAAGGGTGTGTTTGTTAAACCAAATTCAACACTTAAAATGAATGTATTCAACACTTATTAATTAAACCCGTTTGATAATTAAAATTTAAACTCTCTTAATATGTTAAGTGTTCCTTAAAAATAGGCTACAATATTAAGTAGGAGATCCTTTACTAAATTCTGAAAATTGAAAGAGCTCAGCAAAACTATTTTTAATAATATTTACAATATGACAATTATACCCCAAAATATTTTACAATCCTATTAAAACTTTAAGTAATCTTCTCTCCAAAACCCCTAACCTATATATTTTCTATGTTGACCTCTTTTTTTTTTTTTTTTTCTTTTCCTTGGCTTTTGTAACAAAAATATACATACATAATTATAATTACACACACAAACGCACGCATTGTACACACTGCATACTCACAATTACACACAGACATATGCACTGCACATACACACACACGGCGCACACGCATATTGTTAATGAATACTAATTAATTGTATTTTTTCAATATTATTTGATTATTTATTAGTTATTGTTTTTTTTTATCAGATGTTATTGTTTACTTATTATGTTATTCAGATGTTATTTATTTATTTATTTTGATCAAATATTTGTTAAATGTAGACTACAATATAATAATAGTGATTATGATTTATGTTATGACATATTTTATAAATATTTTCAAATTAAAGAGTGGAAGGGTAAAACTGAAAATTAATTTATTTTTAGATGTCAGCTCTGTGTAGTTATCAAACATTTTAGTTCAATTCAGTACTTAAATTTCAGTGAATACCAAATAGTCCACAAATTCAACATTCAGCTTTCAGCTTTATGTTGTCTCTTTTCTTTAGATATTTGTTCAGTTGTGGTGCTTAATAACTAATTTAAGGAATTGTAAGAGGAATACGAAACCTTCGACATGTTAGCTTGATGGACTATCTTTTCACTTAAATCACTTAAAATAATAATTCTAAATTTCATGGAGTTTTATATTCTAAATCTCGGTATGATTTGAGTCGTGTTTGCATGAGGGATTTGGAGCAGAAGGGGATTTCAAGATTCATAGTTTTGGTCCCTGTTTGGGTAAAAGAGAGAGAGCATTGTTAAATTCCCCTATGAATTTGGAATGTGATTTTTGGTTCAAAAAGGCAGATGAGATCTCCTCCAAGCAGGTGTTTTTTTCCCAATACCTTAATGCAGATTAATTTGTGTAAAAGGTTAAACATTCATAAGAAATCTAAGTTTCAAAACAACCTCTCTCTCTCAAAAATGAGAAATCCTGTGAGTATGTCTCCAGGCCATACATAATAGTTTGGTTTTTTTTTATTGATTAAGCCGTACTATTTCAGTTGCAGATTTTACTTATGTTAGGTTCTTTCATTCCATTTTTTGATTCAATTTTGAATAGTTTCATTGTGGTTTGAATGTGATCATCGGATTGGCACGTGATAAAGTTAGGACTTATTTTTTGGACAAACATGAAAGAGAGCATTTTCTAAGTCTTATTATATAGACTTTTTTTCTTGAACCTAATTTTTTTTTTTTTTTCCAATTTGAAACACTTATCAGATGCAAAAATTTAGAAAATGCAGATCATAAATCCTTTCATTTTCAGTATCTCAAGCTCTTCAAAATTCTTCATCATTCTGCACTAAATAGTCCCAGAAAACCTTTGGATTATATAGAGTTTAAAAGATGGTTTTAGCAGTATAAAATCATCGTTGCCAGGTATTCACAATTCCTGTTGCTCTTGGAGATGTTATCATTGCTGGCACAGATGGATTGTTTGACAACTTGTACAACAATGAGATAAATGCCATTATTGTCGGTGCGGTAAGAGCAGGCTTTGGGCCGGAGGTGATGGCTCAGAAGATAGCAGCTTTGGCGCGCCAGAGAGCTCAGGACAGGAGCCGGCAGACACCATTTTCTATTGCCGCTCAAGAAGCTGGCTTCAGGTATTATGGTGGCAAATTGGACGACATTACTGTTGTTGTCTCTTATATTACTAGCTCAACATACTCGTAAGTTTTCCCTGTCCTGGTTTTCACCACTTCTCTTCTGGCTATCTATTTTCTTATATCCCTTTTACGGTAGTTAATAGAACTGTAAGGCAGGTTATATATTTTGCTGTAGAACATTGATGCCGAAAGAAATATTTTGTGAATCATTTCCTCATGTTTCTTTGATTCTCCATCTCTCTCTGCACTTTTATTGTTAGTTTTTCTTATTACCTGGTTAAAATTAGGCCTGACAATTTTAAACATGAGTCGTGATATCGATACGAATTTGATACAGATTTAGCGGGTTTGGGTGTAATCTTAACGGGTTTTGGGTGGTTAACGGATTAACTCAATAGACCTGTGAAATAAATGAACTGGTTTTGCGTTTAACCTATAAATTCGTTTTAACCCGTTTAACCTGTTAACAGTTGTACTATAATTTTTTTTGGTTTTATAAAAGTTTGGTCTTTCAGCCTCTATCCCAACTCACACTTTTCATCTCTTACACTCGTTCAAATTTAGTAGTCATTTAATGTTTTTTTTATTTTTTTGCTCAGCCAAGATTTATTGTTATAGTAAACAGGTCAAATATGTGTAATGTGTAGCAAGTTGATGATTTTTCGTATGTACTCGAAATATTCTAATATATTCTCTTATTTAACGGGTGACACGAGTTGTATCGGGTAATCTGTTTAATAAATGATTCGTGTATGAGTGAGATAAATGGTTTTAATAACGAAAATATATTCATTGCAACAGTGATGTTATATCAATATTGTTACATAATATCATCAACTAATAATATATGAATAAATAAAAAAAAGATCCCTCATAAATTAATAACTACCTATCTATGTAAGTAAATAATTACTCATTTTTTTTATAAAAGTTAATAATTATTTAAGTAAAGTTCATTTTATCCATTTGAAAATATTGATATGGTGTTACTGATGTATTAAATATTTTTTTTAATAACAATACTCTAACTGTATCTCTGAATAACCATCATTTGACCAATGAAGAGAGAATTCCACTCAAAGACAAATTTGGCGCGGAAACCAAAACAATCAGATCCTATCATGCAAGCAATGGGGTGCAAAATGTTTTACTAACAAGGTGAATCTGGTACGATTTGGGATGACACTACTAAATGCACGAATAATCTAAGAAAAAAGACCCTATTTGGATCTGTCTGTCACCAAACTCACGTCTCTCACTAATTTATTTTCTCAAATTTAATTTTTAAATCTAATTACTTTTAAAAAAGTTGTCTATGAAATAGTTATTTAGTTTTTCGGTACCATAGGGAAAAAGTGCTTGGTGCTAAAGGCACCAAATTTGATCACGTGTAAAAGCAAAAGTAAAGTACCCAGTTTTACCGTTTCCTTTTTTGACATTGTCTATGCATATTACTTAAGGAAAAAATTACAATATCAATAAAACATTTATAACAATAGTAAAAATTTAACAATATCAGTCAAAAAATTACAACAATAATAAAAAATTTACAGTAATAGTGGACAAAATTACTACAGTAGTGGACAAAATTATAACATCAATGAGAAATTTACAACAGTATTGTGCCAAATTACAACTTCAGTTAGAAATTTACAACATTAGTAGTCCAAATTACAACAACAGTGAAAAATTTATAACAGTAGTGGACTAAATTACAATATTAGTAAAAATTTTACTACAGTAGTAACAAACTTTAACCAATATGCTGGTAAATGTACAAATGACATATTTAACAACATTTGTTGTAAATATGTCACTAGTGCATCCCACCGATGTCATAAATTTACCTTTAAGTTTGTATTATTATCCACAGTTCTCGTAAAATTAACCAAAATGAAAGTAAAATTGACCAATATACTAATAACCTTATCAACAATCACTCTAACTTAACCCTAAACTATAGTAAATTTTTCTTTTGATGTTATACCGTTACCACGGTTGTAGTAAATTCATCCACCATGGTTTTAACTTAACCTACTTTTATCATAAATTTACTCTTAATTTCGTAATGTTACTTAGAATTATCGCAATATTAACCAAAACAGTTGTAAAATCTCCTCTAAATATGTAAATTTATACAATTGTGGTAAACTCATACTCAAATGTGCTAAATGTATCCTCAATTGTGATAAATTGTCCACTGTTATAGTAAATCCTACTACAACGATGGTAATACTATCCTTAACAATATTAAATGTAACCAATATGACAATAAAAGTATTGATCGACACTTTTAACCATATTTGTTGTAAATACATTAGTAGTGCATCCTATAAGTATCGTACATTTACCTTTATGTTTGTAAAATTAACCAAATTAATTTACAACAGTAGTGGAAAAAATTCCTTGCTTTTTTACATTGTCTACATATACCAATTGAGGTCAAAATTACAAGATCAATGGAAAAATTTACAATATTAGTGGACAAAATAACAACATTGGTGAAAAATTTACAACACCAGTTGACAAAATTACAACATCAGTGAAAAATTTACAATAGTAATTGGCAAAATTACTGTAGTAGTAGTCAAAATTATAACATTAGTGAAAAATTTACAATAGTAGTGGACAAAATTATTACAGTAGTGGAAAAAATTGTAACATTAGTGAAAAAATTAAAATAACAATAAAAATTTACAAAAATAATTGACAAATTATAATATCAGTAAAAAATTTACAAGTAGTGGGCAAATTTTAACCATTGTGCACTCACTGATGTTGTATATTTGCCTTTAAATTTATATTATTATCTACGGTTATTATAATATTAACCAAAATAAAAGTAAACTTGACATATGTACAAGTAAATTTATCCAAAATCATTCTAACCTAACCCTAAGCTATAGTAAATTTATCCTCGATCATCGTAAACTTTTGCACAAATGTTACAAATATTACCAAAACAGTCGTAATACTTACAACAATAGTGGACAAAATTACCACAGTAATAGATAAAATTACAACAACAATGAAAAATTTACAGCAATAGTAGACAAAATTACAACATCAGTGATAATTTACAAAACTAGTAGCAAAAATTACTAAAGTAGTGGGCAAACTTTAACCACTATGGTAGTAAAAGTATGATCGACACTTTTAACTACATTTGTTGTAAAATACGACACTAGTGCTGTGACGCCCCAAAATCTAGATGTCCGTAATTACCTCGTTGATCACTTATCAACCTTCAGAATACTCGTGGATATCGTGTAACTTGATACCACACCATTGTTCCCCATTTACCGAGATCTATAACTTAACAAAATTTGTGCAAAGTCTCTTTTATACGGGAAACTCTACCCAAAATACAACATGTGCAATCATACACCATTGATCACACCGGTTCATTCATCCATACTCAATTATATAGTTTCAGATACTACCATAATCATTATCTCTATGTACATTCATTTATAAAAGAATAAATGGCACAACAGAGTTCTATATACATGTCTTTTTAATATAAAACAAGTATTTGTTTACAAAAATTATACAAGGTCAAAAGTAAACATATACAAATGACTACAACGTCAAAATAAGAGCCACAGTCCGGTTCTGTTGTCAAAGCAGGCCCGTAGGAGGGCCTTTGGTGGAAGCTTGTGCAACAACTGAAAAATGTTTCCATAAGGGATGAGCCAACGCTCAATAAGGTAACTTATATAGAGAATACCTCTCAATCCAAATGCATATGAAATGTCATATGCAACAATCATTTTATGCATTCATTCAAATATATCCATTATGAATAAATGACATAAATCATGCTATGCCATGAGATGAGACTCACGTAAACAATACCAACATTGAGCCCCATCCTAACCTCCCACAACAAATGCAGTATCATGCATATGTATCCGAGCATTGCAAGCTCCCGCCATTGGAGTTATGTGCACTCAATGACTAATTAATTCATTTTTTTGTGTCTTTGTGGGGCGATGATTTATGGTATTTCAACAATGGGACACCACACCATCAACAGATTTTGAGGACGTCCCACATGCGACTCTGTTTCCGCCATTAAATTTTTTGGAATTGCACCGCTGGGAAGTGTAAACCAAGTAACTAGGTCTTGCACCTGAGGGAGAATCTAACCTTTGTTGCTATACCCCGACACGTTTATTCATTTAATTTCTCGTGTAACTTAGTTAGACCTTGGTGCGACTTTCCCGAGCCCACGATCAACCCACCTAAGTGGTGAGTGATTTCATACCATGCACACACTCTCACAAATTTCAATGCCCATGACCGTAGTATAACCCATGGATAATGCAATGCAATATGCAATTTCCTTCGATACCTTTTACAATGTCAATAATATAATGAATGCAGCATAATGCCATTTTCAACACCATCCCAAACATGCTATGTAAGATAACCAACTCAACTACATACTTGTTTCACCTAGGCATTTAAACAAACACCTAGAGGGCAAATCAATTCACACAACTACCATGCTAATCACTTAAAACATGACAATATGTTTATTAATTCTATAAGCATAAACACAAGTCCACTNTTTAACCACTATGGTAGTAAAAGTATGATCGACACTTTTAACTACATTTGTTGTAAAATACGACACTAGTGCTGTGACGCCCCAAAATCTAGATGTCCGTAATTACCTCGTTGATCACTTATCAACCTTCAGAATACTCGTGGATATCGTGTAACTTGATACCACACCATTGTTCCCCATTTACCGAGATCTATAACTTAACAAAATTTGTGCAAAGTCTCTTTTATACGGGAAACTCTACCCAAAATACAACATGTGCAATCATACACCATTGATCACACCGGTTCATTCATCCATACTCAATTATATAGTTTCAGATACTACCATAATCATTATCTCTATGTACATTCATTTATAAAAGAATAAATGGCACAACAGAGTTCTATATACATGTCTTTTTAATATAAAACAAGTATTTGTTTACAAAAATTATACAAGGTCAAAAGTAAACATATACAAATGACTACAACGTCAAAATAAGAGCCACAGTC